GCTGAGAATTTCTGGAGGTCACAAGCCAGTGCTTCTCCAAAAATTGTGGATGTTTTGCCACTCCTGTGGCAACCTGGTCCATGTGTACTGGATTGTAGTTTCCATGTCTGGTCTCTCCCACTGGAAAGCAGTCTCTGGCTTCCTGGAGCCAGTCTTATACGGAAAAAGGCATCTTTTAAGTCTAGGCAAGTGGGCCACTAGGCTTCTGCTGGCAGCAGACTCAGCAGAGTATAGGGATTAGGCACAGTAGGATACAGTGTTACAGTTACACCATTTACTGCAGAATTTTCATCTTAGGTTTTTACTTTTCTTGATGTAGCTATATAGATATATAGACACAGTAGATAACATTTAATACTGCACAAATGTTTCCAGTGTAGCCAACAGGTGACCTTTGTTGAATCTTAAGGCTCCAGAGTAAATATAACTACTGTATATAATTCTATACTCTTTGGCCAGTGTCTTAGTCCCATTTAACAGATCCATTTTGTAAAATAGTTATGTCTTATTTTATAAGTTGACAGTACAAACAAGGCTGGGATTTAATTTAAAGAGGCCATAGCCTCTTTTCTCTTTGAATCATTTTTCTCTCTCCAATTTCTCTCTTTACTAAAGACAAATTATAGTAGAACTAACTTATTTGTCAAAATAAACTGTACCAAGAACCGGAAACAACCTATAATTCTCTTCCCTTTTGTGGCCATCACCTGAGAGGCAGCGGCCAAAATGAAGTTCAATCCCTTTGTGACTTCGGACCGAAGCAAGAACCGCAAAAGACATTGCAATGCACCTTCCCACATTCACAGGAAGATTATGTCTTCCCCTCTTTCCAAACAGCTGAGACAGAAGTACAATGTTCAATCCATTCCCATCTGGAAGGATGATGAAGTTCAGATTGTCCGGGGACATTATAAAGGTCAGCAGATTGGTAAAGTAGTCCAGGTTTACAGGAAGAAATATGTCATCTACATTGAGTGGGTGCAGCGAGAAAAGCCTAATGGCACAACTGTCCATGCGGGCATTCACCCCAGCAAGGTGGTTATTACTAGGCTTAAACAGGACAAAGACTGCGAAAAGATCCTTGAACGAAAAGCCAAATCTCGCCAAGTAGGAAAGGAAAAGGGCAAGTACAAGGAAGAAACAATTGAGAAGATGCAGGAATAAAATAATCTTATATGCAACTTTCATTAAACACTGCTTAAATGAAAAAGAAAAACAAAATAAACTGTACCTTCAGTATACTGGGTCTCATTATTTGCATAAAGTACAATAAGAATAATTATTGGCCATCTAGGCATTTCTTTCCTCTAAAATTGGCTTTTTGAAACTTTTTATAAGGAATCTCAGGCTGGACTTTCTTGAATGCCTTTCATGAGCCCAGGTTTCATCTGTGCTATTAGATACCTGTATGCCATTCCGATTTCCAGACCCATCCGCAAGTGACCTTCATTACTTAGCACAGATCAGGAAATGTTACTGATGGGTATCTGGCCAGTTTTCCAAAGGGCTTTTTTTA